ACTCACTATGTAGACCAGGCTGGCCTTGAACTCACAGAGATCTGCCTGCCTCTGCCTCCCAAGTGCTGGGATTATAGGCGTGTGCCACCATACCTGGCTTTGAACCACACTTTTAAGGAAATGAATTTAGAATAACAGGGAAATGTAATTCCTGGGGGAGAGATCATAAAAGGAATGAAAATAGAATGGATAGAGTGTGAGAGTGTGTGTGTTTGTGTGTGTGATGGGAATGGTGAGTTCATATTCTAATATGACAAAAATAATAAAACTAAAAAGGTAAAGCTAAAAGAGCCTCACTTCATGGAGACCCTCAACTAAGAATTGGACCTGGTTCTGTGGGCAAGAATTTCATTTCTAGGAAGAAATAACTATATTTTTCCTGTCTTACTTACATTTCTTGTTGCTGTGACAAAATACCTGACAGAAGCAACTTGAGGAAGGAAGGGCTTATTTTGGTTCACAGCTTAAGGTTACAGTCTCTAATGCAGGAAAGGTATATGGTGGCAGGTGCTTCAAGCAGCTGTCATATTACATCCACAGTCAGGAAATAGAAAGATAAATGTTGGTGCTCAGCCTGCTTTTTCCTTTTTAGTCAATCAAGGATCCCAGCTCACAGAATAGTACCACCCAGTTAGGTTGGGTCTTCCCATCTCAGTTGCCCAGTCTAGAAACTCACAGACCTGCCCATAGATTTGTCTCCTAACTGATTTTAGATCATTCAAGTTGACAGGCAGTATTAACTACCACAGGTCCATATCTTGGCACCTTGATACTTAAACATCAGGTGACTAGGCTTACATAGCAAGTGCTTTTACCTACTGAGCCATCTTAACCTTGACTGGCTTGGAAGGCAGTATATGGACCAGACTGGTCTTGAACTCACAGAGATCCTCCTGTCTCTGCCTCTCTAGTACTGGGATTAAAGGCATGTGCTACCACACCCACCAAAACATCTCTTTTAAGCCATAGTCTTCCACCCCTTGTCTCCATAAGCTCACAGTTAGCTTTTCATAATGCAAAATCCTTTCAATCCAACTTCAAAAGGCCCAGTAGTTTTAAGCTGTTCAAAAATGTAAACACAAAATATTCTGAGACTCAAGTAGTCTCTCTTTTTTTGTAATCTTTTTTTGAAAAATGTGTATGAGTAAGTAGTACCTGCATGTGTGTAAGTGCACCGTGGTGTGCAGTGCCCACAGAGGACAGAAGAGGGTATCAGATCTCCTGGAACTGGAGTTATGGACTGTTGTTAGCCTCCATGTGTGTGCTGGGAATCAAACCCAGGTCCTTTGCAAGATCAGCCGGTACTCTTAACCACTGAGCCATCTCTCCAGCCCTCAGGCAGTCTCTTTAACTTTTCTAACATACAGTGACAGGGTAAACATTTTCATTCCAAAATGGATGAATTAGAGCATAACAAGGAAATATGAAACAAAACCCAGGAAGGCAAACACTGACTTCTGAGGCTTTGTGTTGGGAATCTGGGGCTTCTGATGGACCTATCCGGTCTCCAAAGGGCTTAGTAGCCCTACCCCTCCAGCTGTGTTATCTGCCACACACATAGCTTCTTCCTTGGGCCAGTTTGATTCAGTGCTTTCCTTAGTGGACATCCTATAGCCTTGGCATTTCCAATATCCTGAGATCTCCATTGTACTTAGGCTTCACCTTCACAGCTCACACAGGGACCTCTCAGGGCCTCCTTGCAGGGAATCAAATCCTGTTTCACATCACTTTGCCTCAGCAGCCTCCTGGAACCTAGACACAGTCTCCATGATCCTCTTGTTCTTACATCTGTGATATCTCTAAATCCAGTACTAGGATGGATAACACTGCCAACTTCTGCTGCCAGCTCCAAATGTAGCTTGGTCCCCTTGAACCACAATTGTATTGGACTCTGTGCCCTAAAGGTTGACCCTGGGGAGACACCAGGTGGTTGGTTTCAAATAAGAAACCCCTTCAGCGGCATTCTTTGATTAGGCTATAAGTGAGTTTAGATTTTCACAAGATGGAGCCTTTGATAGGTAGGGCTTTGTCCTCAAGGTACCATTCCTGTTGTCTCAATGCAGAGCTATTCTCCTACCATCCTTTTCTGCAGCTTTAAACTCCCTCCTTGACCCATTAAACAGCACCTCATTTTTCATCTTTTTATTCTGCTTGTTGCATTTTTCCACTGAAGATCTAGGCAAGACAGCAAACATAACAGTGACATAGCCTGGATACTATCCTATCTTAAAATTTCATCCACCAAACAAATTATTGTGAATTTGGGTCCATTATTTGTGAATTCAGTCTCAAGTTCTCAGGACACAGGCAGAATGTACCCCAATTCTTTTCCAGAATATAACATGAATGGTCTCTAGCTCAGTTCCCAGTAAAGTCATGTTTTCCTCTGAAACCTCATTATCCAGGCCTCCACTCTCTGTTTCTGTCAGCATTCTGGTTTTCCAGCATTCTAGGGCTTTTCTAGCTCAAAGTTCCAAACTTTTCCACATTCCTTCCACAAAGCAGTCCCAGAGGTCTAAGAACCACATGATTAGGTTCATCACAGCAATGGCTATACTCCTTGGTACCAGTTTTCTGACATAGTTACTTTTCTTTTTATGATGAAATACCAAAGTAACTTAAGGAAGGGTTTGAGGGTATATATAGTCTTTCAAGGCAGGGAAAGCATTGCATCTGGAACTTGAGAGCAGCTGATCACATTGCATCCATAGTCAGGAGACAGAGAGAGATGAATGCTGGTGCTCAACTCATTTTCTCCTTTTATTCAGTCTGTGCCCCTAGCTCACATTCAGAGTGGGCCTTCCCACCTCAATTTACCCAATCTAGAATCCCGCACAGACATACTTCAGTAAGTTTGTCTCCTGGGTAATTCTAGATCCTGTCAAGTTTATAGTGCTGACCACCACTGTTTCCCCTTTTTCTGAGTTTCTAGATGGTACTGCAGAGCTTCAGAGGAAAGAGCAGGCACTGTGGCCTGGATTATTTTGAGGATACATGAGCATTGCACTGACTCTGAAAGACAGATTCAAGCATGTGACCACATGTGCTGGTTTCCACTTTGTGTAGGGTACTAGAAATGCAAAGATGAATACAAAATGCATGAGTCCTCAGGACGCTCACTGTGGAAGCTCACCGTACCATGAGGGCGGGGGGGGGTGAGGAGGCAAACCTATGAATAGTGACTGCAGAGCAATGAGAGAAACGGATGGGCTAAGGAAGTGCTGAATAAGAGGTGACTGGGCGTAAGATGCCTCAAGGGGGAGACTTCAGAGAGGAGGGAGACTAATTCGGGTATAAAGATCAGAGGAGGTAAGGCCTCTGGACAAAAGGATATGTTCAAAGAAACAAATAGTTTGTTCTTTTAGGAACCTCAATGTTTAGTTGAAATGCAGTGGAGAAAGGGAAAGAAAAGGTAACAGCAGGAAGTGAAACTGATGGGTTTGGTTAGGCTGAATGAGTA